TTGACGCTAAACATATTATATTGCCAAAACATCTAATAAAACCTAATAGTTTTCCACTCAATCTACATAAAGATAAGTCATCTATTAGTATTCCTATTTTTTGGCGATTTTTATTAATTGAAATTTGTATTATTTCGGGAAGGAATTCAAGTTTGAAAAGTGTATACTACCGTCCATAGCAACCATATGGTTCTTTGGAACCATGTCTGGCTTTACAAAAAATATAAAAAATATAGAAGTAGGAGTAATTAAGTTTAAAAATGATATCCATTATAAAGAAACAGCAGTTGAACCAGTAGATACTATAATAAATGATTAATATACATTTTATAGAAATGGTGAATTAGTGCTTATAAGAAAACGATCTGAAATAACTGATGATTCTATTGTAAATAGAAAAAGAGTGTCTGAAAATGATAGTAGAAAGGACCAAGTACCTAAAATAATTGAGTTATCAAGTGACGAAAAGGACAAGATACCTGAAATAATTGAGATATCAAGTGATGAAAACAACCAGACACCTGGAGATAAATGGACATCTGAAATAATTGTGTTATTAAATATTTTAAGAGAACAAACTCCTGAAGCGGTTATAATGAATAGTTTTTGAATATATAGTATAACTTATTTTGTTTGAATCTATTTCTGCATTCATATTGTTTTATCTATAAAACATTGTATGAATATGAGATAAAGTTAGTAAAGGTTATTATCATTATCTTTTTGGTTCGAAAGAGAGTTTATGGAATGAAAAATGTATAACTTCCATATAATATTTTTTTTTTATCTTATATTAAGATAAAGTTCATCTTGTTATTACCTTGTACTATGTGATAGCCAAATTGAGAATTATATAATTAATTATAATTGGTTATTTTGTATATAACCAATTCTGATTAGTCAAAAATACATATAACAATTTTTTTTTATATATTAGAGGTGCCAAAAAAAAAAATAAAGTCTATTCTCAGAATCGTATCTTAAAAATGTGTAAGACAGATTTTTTCAAAGTTATTTGTTTGTTATATATTTTATATAATAAATAGTGCTTA